TTGCTTGAATGAGAGTTCCCCTGAGTTCAACTGGACCTATTCCCAGGATGAAGACTATAAAACTGCAGCCTTAGGTTATTTCGTGTTAAATCTTCTAATCCTGCATCATTTTAAGGCAAAACCAGAATGACAGATCCAGTCAGAGTAACCAGGCACTCGGAGCAAACTTGTAGCATGACTTTCATTGCTAAACCTTCAGACAAGGGGTGATCACGCAGTACTAATAACAGTGGCCAGTTCTGATGGGAGGTACCGTTCAACAAACCAGAGAGCTACGGTTTCTCTAACCCAACTTTAGATTCTGGTTCTGTGACCAGATTTTATTAAATTACAGGTGCCATAATCCCTGACCACCAATAGTGATAGTTGAAGCTCATGAGATATTTGAAGGTTCACATCTTCCTCAGCCCTTTTGAAGACTTTGAGGTACCTGATGAAACATGGTACTGGGCAGAAATTGTAAATCTTACTTTTTTGGGGGCCACATTTGCCAGCATCCTGCACCAGCCACTGTAGTCATGCTGACTGAGGAACCTGGCCCCAAGGCAGCTCAAAAGTTACCTTACATAAGGCCCAATGACTCATGATTAATTGTGTATATTTTCCTTAGTTCACACTGTATTTTCAGAAGCCTGTACATCTTTGTCCAACATCTCCACATCCTGCATCTTCTTTACAAAGAATACAGTATTACTATTGATTTCCTTTTCAGTTTTGCTTACTTGAACTGTCAATGGCCAGGAGTTTCTAAATGAAGCAACTGAACCCAAAAGAGAGTGATTTATTTGCTTCCCTCTGCTTTTTATGATGCACAAAGTCATCTATTTATTAGTCTTAGGACCTGAGCTATTGGGCAATTAGAGTACTGTAATTGCAATTAAGCCATTGGGGGTCCTTTTGTGAGATGGCATCCATCCAACCTATTCTTGAACACAATTCCAGTTCTGTCAAATCCATATGCATTTGGAAAAAAAACCCTAGTGAGTTTCCTGAGATCCATTTCTTAGCAATTCAAGCAGATTTCGTTAGCTATGAGACAGAGCTTTTCCCAATAATAATTAATTGATTCAGTTAATTTTATGTTTAGCATAAACGGAGATAAAGCAGCAGTGCAAACACAAACAAGAGAGAGGCTATTTTTGTTGTTGCTCTGGATACTTTCATAAGAGGGATGATGCTTCCTTATCTATACAATTGAGGACTCTTGGATAAAATATTAAGTTGCTCTGAGCCTAAATATATCACAATATGTGTCAATAATGACGTGTGTAAGCAAAGTGTTGCAAGAGAGAGCCAGTGTGGCTGCCTATAAGTGCTTTCTAAAAATATAATTTCTTAATTTAAAATGTATAAATGTATTTCCTTTGATATTTTTAGTTTTAAAGAAAGACTGATGTGTACCTCCGATGATGTAATACTGCCGCTTCTGTGACTGGAGAACTGCATCATGGCTTTCTGATTCCACAGCATCACAGTTATAGTTACTTCATATAAAAAATACATTAAATAATTGAGGGCTTTTTTTTTTTAAAGTTAAATCAGGTTGAGAAGCTCTGTATTTTTGAGAGGCATAGGAAATTTCTACACGTTTTCCTTCAAAAACACTGGGGTAAGGGGCAGAGGATCTCTGTGTAGTTCAGAATCTGTGTACAGTAGGACTCCCTTATCCACAAGATCAGTATCCAATGATATTTGCTATTATCCATGGTTTTCTGTATCCACAGAAGGAGTCTTGGAACCAATCTCCAGTGGATATGGGGGTCCTACTATATAACCCTTATGCCCCCCCCATGTAAGTACAAACCATAAACAGTTGATTCACACACACAGGGAACAATTCTCTGTATCAGGTTTTCCCTTCACAGCATTGACAATCCTTTCCTTAAAATACTATAATAAACCTTGGAGGTCATTATGACCCCCCCCCCCCGATCTAGAGGCTGAATTAGAGATATTCTGTCGGGGGGCGGGAAGCAATTGCTTTGACACTTTTGGTGTTGAACCTGTGGGGTTCTAGGTGGGCAGGGGCACAGTATTTATTGAATCTTTATTTATTTATTGAGACAAATACCACATATAACCAAAACCTCTAACTGTTTATTGTTTCTCCATTTTATTTCCTTCATCACAGGAGGCTTCACATGCAAGTGTTCAGGTTCATGTAATTCAAAGGAGAACTGTATTTTATTTTAGAATAACTATAAAAATAATGGAGAACAAAATAACCAAATGCAACTGTGACTTGTTTTAGGACATTATAAGGTAGCAATCCCACAATTTTCTTAAAATCCTTTATTTACCCTTCAGATACTGTTATATTAGAGTTTCTTTGTTGGGGTGACATTCAGGACTTTTGCTTTGTTACCGCAAATGTAGAATAAACTTGAACACTTGTAGGAGAAGCCTCCTGTGATAAAAGGAAATAAAATGGAGAAACAACGAACAGAGAAGGTTGCAAGACACTAGCAACTGACAGTGAAACAGACCAAAGAGCAGGAAAATAAGAGATCCTGTGTACAACAGCTGAGGCTTTGTCAGTAGTGGAACAATGTGTTTTGCCTGATCAACCAGCCACACTGTGCATCCAAATTAGAAAAAAGAAGGCCAAGTCTCTCGCACTGCAGACATCTGTGTCCATTGAGAGCCACTTGTTCTAGGCCTATGAATCCACTTATTAACCACTTTTTGATGCAACTATACATGGGGGCTACAGAATCAAAATGGTCAGATTCACTTTCTAGGCATCACACACACTTATTTTTTTAGGGAATAATAGGGAATCCAGAGTTGCAGAGTTGTTATACACAAAAAAGGAATGTAACCTGTCTCATGTAGATTATACAAACATGTTCAAAATGATTATTTGTTTCCACCCTCTTGTAGGATTGGACCCATCTCACAATAATTTATCTGATCCTATGGTCTAATTTGAGAAAATATATTACAAACAGCGATCCAAGTAAATTACAAAGAGAATTATAACTCCCACATCAAATTTATAATGTTTGACAGTGGAGAGAGAATTATAACTCCCACATCAAATTTATGTTTGACAGTGGAATCCACTCAAATGAAAGTTTATGATCTATTGATTCTTTATAGATACAGTACCTACTAGAGATAAGGGTACTTCCACTCAAATGAAAGTTTATGATCTATTGGTTCTTTATATGTACAGTACCTACTAGAGATGAGGGTACGTATTTGTATTTGTATATGAATACCCCCGCACAGCTGGATGTAATGAGGGTCTGGCCCCCTGGGGCCGGACTGTCCCCTCACATGTCTGCTGCCACCACTGGCAAGGCAGCTAGTCAAGGAAGGTTGGAAAGTACAAGACCATTGTCACGATCCCCTCTGAAGTCCCTATCCCCCTAGGCCTTCACGAGGTTCTCGCTCTTCTTTCTTCTTCGCTGCCACCGGTTATTAATGCTTTAATATCAATTGAGTATGGAGACAAGTGTGCTATTAAAAACTTAAGTCTTTTATTTATTAACTTAGGGAAGTTAATAAAAAATAAAATATTCATGGGATAAATTACAGGCTGCCAATCACTTATATTTGAATCAGATAGGATATAACTTGAAATTTCTTTTGTATCCCGCCCATCTGGTCTATGGGACCAATCTAGCAGCTACGTTCTTACAGAATCTACGTTCTTACAGATCTCTAACTCTCTCTCCAGTCACTTTTAAGCTACACATACTCCATCCACCAGTCTCTCTCTCCCTCAGACTCCATCCACCAGTCATTTTATCCTGCTCCCTCCCCCCTGGCTCCGCCTTCCATTCACTCATTAGCTCCTGCGCCAATGTTCTGCGGTGACAGAGAGGTGAGGACAAGGCTGTTCGTTTACAACCATTTTCTCACTCGCAGGTATGACTTCAAAAGAGAAATAGGCAACCTCACACAGGCCTGTTCCTGGACCATGGGGGGGGGGGGGTTGTACCCATTCTTTATTACAAAAATGATGGGATTTTTTTAAATTGAAAAAGCCGCCTTGAGTCCTCTACTGTCCCAAGAGGGTTTTGTTTTTGTTTTTAATTGTGGGTACAGGGTCCCATGGGTGGTAGGCAGCCCTGAAAATATGGCAAATTGCCCCCACTCTCCCTAGAGCCACAAAGGGGTTTGTTGAGCCATCCCTCCCCCCCAAAAAAAATTTAGAGGCAGAATCACAGGGATATTGAGGTGCCTCAGTGGTTTGGGGGCTCCATTGGGGCCCTTGGAGGCAGAAAGTATACCCCTCATCTACATGTAGCCTGCCTAAGCTTTAAGGTTTTTCAAGCTGGGACTAATTTCCTCCAGTCAATACTTGTTTTTTTCTTTATTCTTTATTTATTTCTTACTCTATTTTTGTATAGTAATTTGTTATTGGAAGAGTTATGTAATATTCTTGTGTTATTTTATTGTTCTTTGTGTTATATTGGAAGCCGCCTAGAGTGGTCGTACAGACCAGATGGGCAGGATACAAATAAAATAAAATAAATAAATACTGTAAATCATTTGGTCTAAACTGTTCCAACAGGAGTTCTTAAGTAACATTTTAAAGCAGAGATTGAGCAGCAGAGATGTGTACAACTTCAGTCAGCAGGCAAGTCTTTGGATACCAACACCTTTCATGCCTGCCTCAGTGCAGCAAAAAGCAATGGAGGTGAATGATCATGGTGGCATGTTATCTGAACATCTTATTTCTTTACAAGTATAAAGAAGCATCACCAGGGACACATCGTTGCTGAAATACATCAATTACAGGGACAGCTGGAAAACAGACACCTGTTGCAAGCCATGAAAGTGGGAACAGGGTGGTACTGCGGTTGTCACAGAAACGTGGCAGTTTTTTTCACCAAGGTCACTGTCAGTCAATGACACTGGAGAAAGGGCAAGTAAAACAGGCAGTACCTGCCCATTAGAAAAAGCAAGTCCCCCCCCCTTTTTAAAAAAATCAAACAGAATACAACTTGGGAAAAAATATTTATTTTCTCCGGTTCTGAGAAGTGGGAAATGAACATTGCTACTTGCAGGCTTTTATACCATGTTGAAGCTGCTTGGATGAGCAGCAAAATGTTTCAATCTAAGAAGAAAGAAGTCCAGTTGCCATGACTCAACTTCCACATCTTCAATAGATCAATCAATTTAATTTGTAAAGATTTCCTGCAGATGGAAACAAAAACACCTTTCAGTGATTAATCTCTTGACCTCTTTCCAAAGGGAATGATAACACAAAAAGCCACAATGCCAGGATCCTATGTCCAAGGAATATCAGAGGAAGTGGCTTCTGGCCCAGACAAACTTTATGCCATGATAAGTCTGTTTTTTTCCCCCTTGAGAAGTGGGAAGTAGGTGACTTTCCAAATGTGGTTGAACTGCAGCTCCCACCAGCCTTAGGCATCATAGCCAGGCTTGAGGGGTGATGGGAACTGCTGCCCAGTTTCTGGAAGATCTCATGTTTCCCGGGCCTGCTTTAGGCTGTCAGAACATTATTTTGCAGGAGAGTAGGGTTTTCTGGTGCAACAGATTAACACTAGCTCAGTCTCAGTGTAAAAAGAGTATTTCTCATTTTTCTACAAAATGCAGTATTTACACCTTTGGACAGCCTTTTGGTGGAAATGGTATCAGGTTAGGGTGACGTCCCCAACACGGCTGAAAGCGATCTCTTGGAAAAGCAGCGCGTTTAGGGTGCCAGAGAAGTTACTTGCACTGAAAGACTGATGCCAATTTGTTGTTTCAACTTCTCTCTCAGGTTCAGAGAAGCAACCATTTTAAGGACAAAACAGGTCTGGCCCTGCGTCACCTTTTCAGATCTCCTTACCTGTGTCAATACATGTCAATCGGAGATCTTCCTGAAAAATAGGAAGATTCCCGTTTTATATGGGGAGGGGGAACTCCTCCACGTCGGCGGAGTGTGCCCGTTTTTGGGCCACGCAGAACTTTTTCGCGTGTTGGGAACAGAAGGGTAACTAATTGCCAGCTGTCGTTTTCCTCGCTGCCTATTTGAATAATTTCTTTTGGCAGATTTATCCTCGGTCTCGCTGGCAATAACGCGATTTAACACACACACACACACATGCACACACACCCAACCCCTGCGCGCGCCTCTCCGTCTCAACAGGTTGGCCCCACCCGGCACCGCCAAACTCGCCCAGGCTAGGATCCCACGGGACTGGCGACTCTATGGAACCCCTGACGGCCAAAGGGGGCGGGCGGGCGAGCGGTGCGCGCTGGGGTGAGTCGGGGCAGCCGCAGTGCGGCCCAGCCGGCTTGTGTGAGTGTGTGTGTCTTGTGCGCGAGGGCGCGCGCGAGCTTGCGGCTGCAAAGAGGCGCGAGAGGAGTTTGCAGGGAAAACCCTTGAGTCAGTCCCAGCTGCTCTGGCGGCGGCAGCGGCGGCGGCAGCAGTAGTAAAGCAAGAAGCCACCGCTCGCCTCTTTTTTTCCTCCCTCTTCCTGGCGGCTCTGGAGAGGAGAAGGGGGCAGCCCATCGGGCAAGCTTTTGCCGGGAGAAACCCTCAGTGCCTGGCGCGTCTTTCGCCTCCTGGGGACCGCTCTTCCTTTTCCTTCCCCCGTGCTGGGACTTGCCGAGGAGTTTCCTCCGCCCCCTTCTGAGCAAGCAGGTTGGAGGACCGCGAGGTAAGTCGGGCGCTCTTTCTCTCGGGAACCCTTTGGCCGGTTGCTGTCGGCCTCTGAATGGACCCCGGAGGCGGGAAGGGAGGGGGGGCTGCACAAGTGGCCTCAGGGGGCGCTGGCCGGTGTGTATGTGTGTGTGTGTGTGTGGGAGAAACTTCGTGGAACTGTGCCCTGAGGCGCGCGGGAGGCGTGCAGGTCCTTCCCACCCTCGCTTTTGACCTTCTGGGAGGTAGGGGGGGAGTTTCTCATCGCAAAACTTTGGATGGGGGGGGCTGAGCGGGCGGGCAGGCAGGCTCTGAAGGGGCATTGGGGCGGAGGACGTCGCTGAGCGCCCTTTTGTTATCTTCAAGATTTCTGTCTTCGCAAAGGTACACCCCCCCCGCCCCAACACACGCACACTTCTTTATGGTAGTCGTTTGTGCCTCATTTCCCTCACTGGGCTTGGGAAATGAGGAAGGGGGGCGTCTGCCTCTGCTCTGCGGGAGAGAGAGGGAGAAGCTCGGTCCTCGTGCAAGCAGAGCCTCGGGCTGCAGCAGCAGCAGCAGCATGGTGTGTATGTGTGTTGGGTTCCCCTCCACTTGACATTGCAATTACCAGAGAGGAGGAGGGAGGGAGAGACGGGAGGGTTGGAGGGGTGTCGCTTCCCTTTGCCCTCTCTCCCCTCCCCTCCCCTCCCCTCCCCGCCGGACTCCTTTCCCCCCTGGCCGGCTCACCTCTCAGTTCTTTGGAGCAGCAGGGGTGAGGGACGCTTTTGTTCTGCAGACATCAAAGGTATCTGAGATGGGATGGCGGCGGGAAAAGGAGAGTTGCACTTTTGGAGACAAAAAAGATATTGCCTGTCAGCCCTTCATTGTGTCGGCTTTCCGGCTTTCCTTCTTTTGTGGCTGCAGGAGAGGAATGAAACCTAACTTTCTTTCCCTCCCTCCTGGCTGCTGCATTTTACGCATAGCTGGAAGCTTAATGATCTGCTGCTCAGTGTCATGGGGCAGCGGGGTCTGGCTTAAGCAGCCTGTTGGGAGCCTGTAAGAAATTTGAAATCTTTTTTTTTTCCTTTTTGGACAGGGGGGGGGAGTTTGTCTAATCTTGTACTTTCATAATGAAGTCTGCTTGTGAACTCAGAATATAGCTTCAAATGCTCAGCAGCCCAAGATCTATAGTTATTAAATTCAGTTATGTGAACAAATCTTTGTGTATGTATATGTGTAATGCCTATGCATTGATATAATGTATAATGTAACTTTATAAAAAGTGGTGCAGCTGGAAAACTTCTGTCAGTCAGTGACATGATCCGGGATTGTTGCACACATGCATCTTGAGGTGCATCTAGGGAGAAGGAACAAAACTGTGGCCTCTAGTATTTTCTGTGTGAATTCACAATAGCTCACGGACAACAAAACGTGGCACTTCAAACTTGGCCTAAGCCTTCTCAATAAGAAAAGTTCTTTGGGACTAGCGTTCTTCTCTTTGTGTATGGAAGAAGTCGGTGACTGTACTCTTGAGGGTAACTTGATATTTTTCCTGTACTGTTCTGCTGAGTTCATTTGCCACAGGATCACTGTGAGGGTGAGTAGGATCACTGTGTGCTTTACTGTGGCCCGCGACACCCCTTAAGATGAGAAGATGTATCTTTGGTAATTTATGTGGATGCACAACATGGCAGTTGTGTCTGCCATGAACTAAATCACTGGTAAGTACTGGAGAGAAAGTCACACCAGAGGAAGGGCTTGCACAGAGGATCCCTCCCCTGCATTTCTTCCTATGTCAAGTGGAGCACTCCCTCCTTCCATTCTTTACTTGGTTACTTACTGGGCCAGCCAGCTGACAGGTTGTTAGTTCTTGTTCTGTTCCCCTGGAAGAGCCCCAAGAAGGCACTCCATGGCCTGGTTCTTGAGCTTACAAAAGTTTGTAAGACTTTGTATTTGGCAACACTAAATATGAGTTCATATGGCTGACTTCTGGCGAGCCATATCCATCCTTCTTTGCTTGAATGCTCCTCATTAGCTCTCTGTAGATGTTGGGGCTTGGTCTGACAATGCACTTCTGCTCTTGTGGGAGTCCCTTGTATTTTTGGAGAAATAAGAGAGTGCAAGCAATACTGCATCAACCTAATGCAAATACTGTTGACATTCATGAAAAGTCATAGAGTATTGCTGTGACATTTAGAAATGTATCTTATGAGAGGCAATTATAAAAGGGAATGGCACAGAAATGTGGGTTATATGTATTGGCATCTTCTTCCAGTGTTTAGAAAGGTTTTATTAGTTAGCTGCTTAAAAAAAGTTTATTACATAATTTTATAAATTTGGGCATCTTTGAAAAACCTTCTAATTCTAAAGTGCTTCTTTATTTCAGGCCAAATTTTATTTGTAAATTTTTCTGTTGATTGCTGCTTTTTATGTTTATGGAAGCTGCTTTGGGTAGTAATTCATACTTTGCCTTTCTGAAATAATAGTAGTAATAATCTGAATGAAAATTTCATCAGCTGTGCTGTTCCTTTAATATTAGCTCTCTGGAGAGTATCAGAATTACTGCTGGATCATTTAGCGGTAACAAATTCACATTCAGTTCTCAACTTCCACATGTTCCTACTTGGATCTGTTTCTGAAAAGTCACTATATTAAAGCAAAGCTTGCTGGTTATATACTGCCCCGTAGTGCTTCAAGCACTCTCTGGGCGGTTTACAAGTTAATTATGCAGGCTATGCATTAAGTAATACATTGGATATTTTAAAAGCAAAGTTATATGTTTTTCCAGTACTGTTTGATATACAGTACTGTAAATGTTTTGTTTATCTTACTTCCTTGTGCATCTGAAATATACTGGGAGATGGTGTTTTAGTACTTTAACTGTTGTTATTTCAAAGTGCTGATTTTCCACTGTGCTTTTGTCTTTCCTAAGCACTTCATTTAAAATGCTTTTTCTGGTGGTGGGGGGACCATTTACTATTCCCCTGCTTCACAGCCTGGTGAGCTAAATTCAATTTTGTGACTTCAGTTCATTTGAAAACTGGGTCCTTTGCCTTCTTCTATTATCTTCCCACTGATCTTGTGAGTGGAATGGAGGGTTCTTTAAACAGCTTTTCGCATCAAATTTTAAGATTCTTAAAATCAAATGGTAGAGTCTAATGACCATTTTTACATGCATCTACTGTAGGTATAAGTGTGAAACATCTGTGTTGGTAGAATTGCAGAGCTGTATTTGCCTAAGCAGTTCAAATGATTTTTTAACCACCACGTTAGTATTCTATGTTTGGGAGGATGGGTTACATTGGAAAGGAAAAATTTGCCCAAGCCATCCAGGGAGTTACTTATATAAACTATTTGCTGTATGGAGCTCTGAACTGCATTGCTAGGAACAGTATATGCTATGATTGTTCTCTATGATCCAGGCCTAAATACAGCTGTTAGTCTTGGTTAGAATAGACTTGTTGAACTAGTTGCCGAATGGTGATTCAAAACTTTGAAATTTCCGTTGATTCAATGGGTTTACCATATTTGAGACTGCAAGCCAGATTCAGGACACGGTCATAGGTTCTGTTGTTGTAAATAAAACAATTAACTTAATTTCTCTCTTTTTAAAATCTTAAAATAACATTCATAGTACTTGTTTGTAGTTAAGCAAATGTGGAAGAAAAGTTAGTCAGCTCTAGAACACTAGTTGAATATATTTATAATAAACTTTTAGCCTTTCTTTTTGTTCTTGTTGGACAAGTAACTATTAAGTTGTTCAAAGAACAGTTTGGGCAGAAGTCCTTTGTATGTTATGAATGCTCAACAGTTTATTCCTAAACAGATGTGTTTAGGATTACGCTGGTAGTCACACTTGCTCAGCTGTAAGTCGTGAGTCTCCTGTTGAACATTCATTGGCTCTTCTTTCTGTATGTCTTCCCAGAACTCAGTCTGAATTCAGTGATGCCACTGTGCTAGTTCACAATACATTATAAGAGTAATTTTACATTTCCAGAGTAACTGCAAGGGTGATATTCAGTACATTTTTGTGTGTGCAGATGCACAACAAATGATATACTCTAGCACAACTGCATTAACATAGACTTTTGCTCTGCTTTTGCTATATTGAACTTAGCTCCATATATTCTATACAGGCCCTCACTTGCAGAGGGTAAATTGAACTGACTTTCAGATACAGTGAAGCAGGGCAGAGGCATTCTAACCTATCCCATTATACTGCCACATTTCAGCACCCTGAGTTTTGGACTGTATATTGCACGCTGGTGCTACTGAATGGGCTACTTAGCTAATTAAATAAACTCAAAGTATGTCATGTGACTCTTGCATATTTCTTGTACACTTGAGAGAGCGACAGTCGAATAGATAATGTAGTACAGCTGGAGATAATATTTGTGTCTGGAGGGAGGTCTTAGTCATTTATATTAAATAGTTATTCAGCTCGGAAATTGAGAATAACAGGGTTGAAACAAATGCACACCCATCCAAGCATATTATCTCAATATCTATTTGAAGAGAAGCTAGAGCTCTAGGGGAATTTGACCCTATCAAAGGCATAGCCTAATCTCCATACCTGGCTCTGCGGACTTGATCATAATCAGCTTCTTCGTGTTGTATGTACTAGTTCATTCATCTTTCTTTAATGTTACCTGCCCCATATAATTACTTGTAGAACACTCTTCAAATCTAATGTAGCAAGAGAGAAGAAATGTTGATGAATTTGATAAAATTGTGCACTACTTGCATAGTGGTGACAGTGTGCTTCAGACATGTTAATGACTTCACCCATTAGGTTTATGGAGAGTACTGAAAAGCGTGAAAAATGGGATGGAGCTAGAACATTTCTCATGGGGAAGAGCTGTAATCTGCCAGCACCATCTTCTGAGAAACACCTATTGCGCTAAGGATTACTTTCTGTGTAAATGACAATACTTTTTCCTAAAATCATTGTAGGAAAAATTGAGGGTCATCTTTTACATGGAAGTAACCTAAGAGAAAACCATGCGGTAGCAAAACTGCCTACCTTATGCTGGCCAGTGGGGTCGGGAGGTACCTTCATGCTGGGACCCACCCGTTTTTGCTTCTGCTGACCTGAAGCAGCCAACGCTGTAACTCCTTGCCTGCAAGCCAATCCAGAGTGGGGTGTGTATGCACCTCCCTACCGGGACCCACCTCCTCCCTCCCTTTCCGTTTTTGCTTCTGCTGACCTGTATCAGCCGGTGCTCTTGCTCCTTGCCTGCAAGCTGATCCGGAGTGGGGTATGTATGCACCTCCCTGCTTCTGCTGACCCAAAGCAGCCTGTGCTCTTGCTTCTTGCCTGCAAGCTGATCCGGAGTGGGGTATGCATGCACCTCCCTGCTGGGACCCACCTCCTCCCACCCTCTTTGTACTGGCTTGTAAATGTTGCCTAATTACTAAATAAAAATGTGTTCCTTTCTAATGTTTAAAATATTGATTTCTGAATTTTTGGGTTAGAAATTTGGGGGAGTCTTGTACATGATAATGTCTTATACATGGAAGAATACGGTAAATTCAAGGGACAAATTATCACTTGGTAGGTGAATCTATAATTTGGTAAATGTGTTGACTAATAAAATTAATAAAGCCAGAATGATCCTTACAAATTCTATAGTTATGCAACTTGAGAGGTCATTGGATTTATATCTTTCCTTATGGTATGAGAATCGGGGTAATTGCAGAATCCACTTAGGTATGTGATTCCTCTGACAGAAATTGAAAAGTTGCCTGGTATTTACAAATGACCTCCAAATTGGGAAAAAAAAAACAATCCTATGTAGTCAGCTTTCCTTTCTGCTTTCTCATCTGTAATACTGTTCAGTCTTTCCATTATTGCAGCGTATGACCTATCTTAAATAATAGATGTAGGAAGTGAAATGAAGACTCCCTAATGAAGAATTTGCTTAGTAACAGACACAATCTCTCTCTCTCTCTCTCTCTCTCTCTCTCTCTCTATTTCTTTCTCTTGCTTGTAGTGTTGGTGGAGCTGTCAAAAATGGGCAGCAGTTCATGCTTCTAGTTTTATAGAAACACAATCAGTTAATTGGAAACAGTTGTAAACTTCTGCTGTCAGCAACACTCACTACAATTCAGTCATTTAGTTAATGGAATTAAGTAATGGGATTTAATGAGAGCTTGCCCACATTTTGCTATTAACCATTTATACTTGCCCTTGCCCTTCTCTTTAAAATAGAGAAAGAAATACAGTGTCCTCTGAAATGGTAATTTAAAAGGAAGGAAATAACTATAATTCTGACTCCTTAGCAGGTAAAAATCTCTGGCATGGTTTTTACTGTAGATAACAAACATGGTGAAGATACATATTTTTCTTAGGTGGAAAATGGGAAGAAGAAAAACAAACAAACACCAGGCGGTGCTTTAACTTTTGATATGAATCCATCCTCATCATATTGTAGAAGATCTTGTAAATTCAGTGTAGCATGTTAACACACTGCCTTGGTGTTTGCTGTGCATCCATGAAAATGATGTGCAAATTAGGAGTATTGGACAGCTTATTAAACAAAATGGCTGGGACATGTTAACACATTTTACATTTACCATCTAGTTCTTATTTTTACATTAGCTCTTTCTCATCATGGTGAATTCTGAAACCAATACCAGGGAGTGTAATATGTTGGACATAACTTAAATTTAGGGCTGACCTGGTTGTTGGTAACTTAACATTTGTCTCTAAAAACCATTGAAACATTGATTCTTGTTACATGAATTAGCTATGAGCTTTCCAAACAAAAAAACAATAACCTAAAACCCAAAAATAATCTGAATGTGATTTTTCTTGATCCCTGAAACTAGCATAATATTTAGAAAGCACTGTGAAATTCCTTTGTCTTTTATTTTGTAGAAAGACATTTTGAATCATCATCATTCATGTATATTGAAAGAGTGCTTTCTGCACTCCTTCCTCTGTTGATGTATTAAAGACTATTTTCAAAGACTATTTTCTCTCAAGTAATTGGCATTGACACAGAGAAGCATTTAGATTTCCCATGAGGCATGAAGAAGAAATAAAGAAAGCCACTTGGGGGTTTGGAGTTCTAGTTAACTTTGTGTCAAATAGTTTAAATAGATGAGGATTTGTCTTTAGGGTGATTTATTTTCCCAGGTCGTGTTTCAGAAGAACACAACCTTTGTTTACCTTTCATAATTCCTGTCTACAGTTTATTTCTAAACAGGAACAAAGTATCCTATGGAACCTTAAAGGTGACCATATTTATTCTAGCATATGGTTTCATGGGCTAGAGCCTACTTTAACAGATTCATTAAATAGTACTTTGAAATTCTGGTATATATGCAGTAGAGCTGATTGGTAATGGGATTGTATAGAATGAAATCAGAGAAATTGAATGCAGGAGGTATCAACAGTGGGTATTACTTTACAAATGTTGGCCTTGCACTGACCTGGCAGCTGGTAAAGCAATTAACAATTTCTTATCACAAAATACTTGTTATCCTATTTCAAACACTTGTTGATAGATTGGAACTTCCTAATGAAATGTAGTTCAGCAGTTCACGTCTTTGATCTATCTTTGAAGTTTCTTTGTTCCACAGTAACTACAAGTAGATTCATATTATACTTCAATAAACCTCACTTGTGCTATAACGGAGATATCTAACTATGACCTAGTTTGCTGAAAGGGTTTATTTGGAAGATGCTGCTTCCTTCAGCACACTATACCTAAATTCTTCAGGATAAGACACTAATAAGTTTAAAAAGGAGTATATCCCAGTGGTGGAGGCAGCTGCAAAGTGAAAATTGCTTAGAAAACTCTTGATTTTGGCAAAGAGTTCTTAAAACACATCCAAGTTGAAATGTCAGACTGTAACCTTATAATTTATGGCTTTGCCAAGACCCTAAATTGGTTGGTTCCTAAATGGAATATTTGTAATTCCTGAATGAGTAACAAGTCATATCTTGAACCAACAAACCTTAATATTATTTTTAAATTCATTTGAATTAATATTAACTTGTATAGCTGGTTGAGCAGCCTACCAGAACAATATTTTTATTTAAAAATTTTTTTAACTGAAAAGGCCTTCTCACACCCTTCAGTAGCCAGTTTTTTTAAAAATATGGAGAGTGCAGAAACACCTTCCTTGGAGAGCACTAGAAAACCTCTGAACTTTTTTAAAAAATGTGTGTGAGTGCTGGAGAGTTTTGTTAAAGCTTCTTGCTGCATGCAGCCTGTGGGCCATGTTTTGCCCATACCTTTTGTGTGATCTGCATGACAGAACAACTAGAATCCAACATCTCCTCCTTGGATAAACAGCTGTATTTGTTGCTGCTTGCCTCTGCAGTTGCTCCTGCTACCTGTGTCACCTACTGTAAACAAAGCACATATGATAACAGCTAGTTGGAAAAAGAAAGTATGTACTGTATAATGACAGACAGAGCAGAATAGAAGAACATATTATGCATACCACTATTCCCATGATTCAGTTTGGTAGTTGGACACACTTCAGAATCTCCTAATAGTTTTTCTCCTAGTTTTTGGGAAGAATTTTGGGGAAGAAATGATCACAAAGCTAGTTTGAGCTTCCCACTGATTCCCAATGTGATGTAGTAGATAGAGTGATGGACTAGAACTCTGGAGTATTTCTAACCATAACTCTTCCTTTGATGTGTGAACTAAGTCTTTTTGTTATAGCATTAAATCTTATTTTTCTCATTTATTTCTCTTGCGTATATGAGATACACAAACAGTGGGGGGAAAAATCAGTCATTAAAGTGTGCTTCAGAAAACAATGAAGAGATAGGAATAGTCAGCCCTGAATGTGCTGTGGCTTTCTGGGGATAAGCTTGGTTGTAGCGTTGACAGCGCTAATTTGAACCATTTTGTAGTTCTTCAGGAGATGTCCTCTATAAAGCAACAAGAGTACAATTCTCAGAAAGTGCCTCAGCAGCAGCTGTTTTTGTTCACTAACAACAGGAAGTAGGCCCAAGACATGAAGTCCTACTTCTTGTCGTTAAGGAGGAGGCACAGAGCTTCTGAAAACAGGCTGTATGCCAGGTGAGTATGGGTCCGTGGACTGGAACTTCCAGAATTCTGGCTTGGAGAATTCTGGGAGTTGAGTCCAAAAATTTTTGAATGGCACATTCTTAATGTCCTCTTTGTTTCCCTAAATAGCCACACACACTTTCTCATCTGCTTAATATCTTTGGTTCCTAGCTGTTGCATGAGCCTTTTCCATTCTACAAAGTTAAAATCCCTCTCCTAAGATAATATTACTTGTGTAAGTGCTTTAAATCTAAAATATGTTAATAGCTTTGGACTCACCTTATGAGTCTACCCACCGCTGGAATGTAGAACCTGGGAACCTTTTAGAATAGAATTTGGCTCTTCTCTACCTTTGCCTTAAACCACTTTAGGCTAGAATAGAACTGTTGACTGTATCTCTTACTCATCTGTTCTTTCCCTCTCTGTCTATTCTGTGAAATGTGAACTATCCCTCACTATTCTATAGTTTTAAGTTGGCCCTCATAAAAGTATTAGGTTGTTGTCCATATTTCTACTAAATGGGGAAGGTGAACTATTTCACTTACTGCTGCCTTTAAACATGTAAATGATCTAAATGTAAAGACAATAACAGCAGTCCTCAAATGTTACCTAATTTTTCATATGTTTAAGGCTTTATAAAGAGTGAAAATTTACTATGCTGTTATGCTGTAAGTGGATGAAACAGATTTTTTTCTTTTCATGAAGCTACTCTGTACTCCGCCTGATACCAATGCACTCAAATTTTCTCCTGACTTCTGAACATCCATCAGATTTTTAAATTAGAACAAGAGCTGCAGGAATTCTCCCAATTAATGCTACTAAAGCTAAAGTTACCCTTTGTGGAGAGTTGGTATATAATCCAAATAAATCCTTGCATGTGACAAGACCCTTTTTCTAATCCTATTGCTGCCTTAAGGATCAGGTTGATCGCTAGAATAGATTGTATGAATTAAACCATGTCTAGACAATAAAATTCCTAGGTTCATTTGAAAAAAAAAAGACAAAAATAAAAGCAGTGGCTTTGTGTCAGCCGTTCAACAGAGGCAAACCTTTGCCCCCTTTCTGTGGTTAGAAAATATATATGTCACATGTGAGGAAATCATTAGTGAAGAAAATGAACTTAATATGTATATATAAATGAAAGGTGACAGAAGTAGAGTCGAAGCCTGAATGCAAGTTTTCAACAATTGTCACATAGAGACAAAGAGAATTACTACAACTATCAGTGCAAAGAAATAGAGAACAACAAAAGGGGGGGGGGGAACACAAGTGATTGCTTCCAGAAAATCCAAGAAATCAAAGGGAGTTCATGCCCAAATTAGGAATGCTGAATTAGCAAAAGGGAAGCATACTGTCTTACCAGGTGAAAATAAAGAGAAGTTGGAAACAATGTACTGAAGACCTATACAGAAGGGATAAAAGGATGACAGACTCTTTAGAAGAGGAATTCTATGTTGAAAAACTTGCTGTTCTGGAAAGTGAAGTGAGAATTGCTTTGAAAGCACTAGGAAAAAATAAATCACCGGGGTAAATGGAGTACTGATAGAACTGTTTCAAGCCACATAGACTGAATCCTAACAAGAATATGAAAAACAAATATGGAAAAGGATGGCCCACAGACTGGAAATGCTCAGTATACATTTCAGTCTCCAAGAACAGAGATGCCAAGGAGTGCAGTAATTATAGGACCATTGCTTTAATTTCTCATGCAAGCAGAGTGATGCTGAAGGTGTTGCAACAAAGGCTTTTTACCTTATATGAAGTAAGAAATGTCTGGTGTTCAAACTAGATTCCAAAAAGGAAAAGGTATTTGAGATCATATTGCAGTTCTCTGCTGGGTACTCTACTGGAGCTCATCAAAGAATTTCAGAAGAAGATTAGTCTGACAGACTAATGCTAACCCCTTGACTGTGTGGAGCATGAGGAATTATGGGTTGTTCTGAAAGAAATGGATAGGCCCCAGCACTTGATTGTCCTGATGTGTGACTTGTGTTGTGGACAAGAACCTTTAGGATAGAATGGTTTCTTATAGGCAAAGGGGTCAGATAAGGGTGTATTTTATCCCCTTATCTGTTCAGTCTGTATGCAGAACATATCATATGGAAAGCCAGACTAGATTGAGAACAAGCAGTGAACATTGGTGGAAGAAGTTTTAATAATTTAAGATATGCAGATAACAGCAACGTACTGGAATAAAGCAGCAATGATCTGAAATGACTTTTAGTCAGAGACCGCAAATAAAGATGGACTGATTGAACTTTTAGTGGAGAATGCAGCCAAGAAATCAGAAGAAGACTGAGATTAGGAAGGGCAGCAATGATTATAGAAGATCGTGTATGGATGTGTCTCTGGAGACAAAGACCAAGATCATATACGCTCTTATATTCCCAATCATCATGTACAGTTGTGAAAGCTGGACAGTGAAGAGAACAGGTGAAATAATCAAATCAAGTTTGAACTGTCTCTAGATGCAAAAATATTGAAGTTGGGAGTGTTGTACTTTGGTACATCATGTGAAGGCTAGATTCTCTGGAAGACAATAATGCTGGGAAAGGTGGAAGGCAGTAGGAAAAGAGGAAGATCAAATATGAGAGAAAATGACTGTCATGGGCTTGAGTTTACAAGAGGTGAACAGAGCAGTTGAGAACAGGACATTTTGATTGCTCATTCATAGGGTTGCTGTCAGTGAGAGGCAACTTGACAGAACATAACAACAACAATGAATTATCTGGCTTTACTGGATTAAGTAATTTTATGAAAAGTCTTCTGAGAGCAGGGTATTCGAGCCAAGTAAAGAAAAAGCAAGGAGGAGAGAAGTAATATGAATGAAATGGAAAGTGGATAGAGAACAGCTGTTAAGTGGCTGGCATAATGATAGGACTAGAAGGAACAAGAGAGAGGTTCACAACAGCTTTCAGGTAAGTTGCCGGTGAGCATCGCTGATTCATCAAATATGCTGCTGCCCTAAGAGAAGCGTCGCTGAGGTTAACTAAAGACCATATAAATCAGTTGAGGTGACTGAATACCAACTCTAAGTGGCTTGTTTAATCTTATTTAATTAATATCTAAAATAATAAGGCTGTTTCGAAGAACAGGAACAAAGGAGAATGATGCTTGCCAACAGTGGGTGGTTGTTGTCATGTCTATATGTAATCAGTTATGGTGGGAATACTGCAGGACGACATGTCTTATTTACAGTAATTCTTCACAACTGCTCCGTGACTTAGATATCTGCTGCAGATCCAGAGGCTGACAGTTCAGCTCTCTGTTGTGTCCCCCGAAAAGAGCCAGCCTGTGTGGCCTTTGGCAAGTTGCACAGTCCCAAGGTGTCCCTCAGAAGAAGATAATGGTAAAACACTCCTGAGTACTGTCTACATAGAAAACCCTGAAAAGGGCCACCATAAGTTAGAATTGACTTGACAGCAGATGGTTGTTGTTATTAATTACGACCATGTTTTTTTCCCCTGCTGCCCTTATGAAGGTAGTAGATTACAACAGTAAATTTGCAGTATTGGCAACTTAATTAAAATGGGTTTAATGTATGCTCATTCTTGTAGCTTTTGTGAAATTATTTGAATGCTGTAGTATGTAACAGTCTATGTAATTTCTTTGCTCTGATGCAAAGTTCAGTGACTGTATATTTTAGGCCAGTGGTTCTTAACCTTTGTTACTCAGATGCTTTTGAACTGCAACTCCCAGAAACCCCAGTCAGGACAGCTGGTGGTGAAGGCTTCTGGGAGTTGCAGTCCAAAACTCCTGAGTAACCCAAGGTTAAGAACCAGTGTTTTAGGCAACCTCCAGATGGAGGCTGTACACACTCTGGCATCTTTGTCAGCACTACCTGTAGTGGTTTTCATATAAGAAATTAATTTGGCCATCAAGGTCCACAAGCCCATCAGATAAATGGGTTTCAAATTAAACAGCATGGCTCCTTTGAAAAATCTGTTTGTCATCTTTTACAGGAATTTCATTGGCTGTTCTGGGCTTGGAAGTAATATGTTACAAGTAATGAGGCAATCTCTAACATATTACTTTTTGGGGTAACAAGGGCATGGTGATGTTCTTTTTGAAAAACAATGTGACAACTGATATTTTAATTTTTTTGTGCAATGAGAAATGTTTGCTTATCCTTACTACAATAAAGGAATTGCTTTATAGAACATATTGATAGATTTCAGATACTGACCCATTTTATTTTTAGGCAGATTTTTTTTCTTCTAAAAGGTGATTTGTCATACAAGAAATAATGAATGATACTAAATAATAATACATTGCTTAAAAATGTAATAGT